TCCCCGTGCTAGCAAACTACTAGTGAGCGTCACTTGAAATAACAGAGATATTTGACAATTTTTCTTGCTTCTGCTACAGTTGTCCCCCCTTACAATCACCTCCTATGTAATCACAAATTCTATACAATCACATAAGTATATCTGTTTGTACATTTTATATTAAAATACCTCTATATAATCACAAATGCATTACAATCACCATCACATTTTTTTTAAAAGTTGGTATACTAATTTATTAATTAAATTACCTCTTTAAAATCACAATTTAATTATATATATAATTATATCCATATTTTGCAAAATGAATTTGTACTTGTGCACAATCTCTATAACTAGTCAATCACAATAAGAGATTCTTGAAAGCTTCCTAAATCAATTGCTCGGGTAACTCATTTATATACTTTAAAAGTACTTTTTAAGGATACACATTTCACTTACAAAAAAGTAAGTAAAACGTGCATCCTCAAAAAGTACTTTTAAAGTGTATAAATAAGTTACTCGGGCAATTGATTTTAGGGAGCTTTCAAGAATCTCTCAATGTGATTGACTAGTTATAGAGATACTACGATTAATTGAAGTAATCCTTACCATTACTAATTTTGCCAAAGATTCACATTGCGGATATTAGATTTTAGCCACTAATTAAAAATTGAGTTTCGACCTAGTGCTTGAGAATATCTTTAATTAGCCAATCAGACGAAAGTCTGCCTATGAGTCTTCTACTAATTAAATTTTTTCTTTATGACGTATTAAACTATTGTAGTTCTGTATGAATATCACTACTACTATTTTTTTACTAAGCTTCCCGACCAATCGACTAAAGTATAGTACCATAAATCACAGGATTACAGTTTTATTAGCCGCTATGTAACTCTGATTGGTTAGATAAATTTTTATAAATTTGAAAAAATTTTTTTTTGTGCACTTAGAAGTTTTTGCAATGACCAAGTTTTATATCGTTCAATTTTTATCTTGGTCTTAATCAAGTTTTGCTGTGTTCAAATTTCTGTAAGCTAATTTTTATTCGTGGTTATAATCAAGTTTTACTGTGCATAAATACTTTATAATCAGGATTTTTTCGTATTTAATGTTTTGCTATTAAAAAAATCACCGTTCAAATTTTGCTGCAGTAAACATCTTCGTAGTCAAGGTTTCACTGTAGTTAAGGTTTCACTGTAGTCAAGGTCAAGGTCTCGTCGTAATCAAGGTCAATTTCACTTGGTTAAGGTCAAGGTTTCGCCGTGGTCAAGGTTAGGTTTCGCCGTGGTAAGGGTCAAGGTTTCACTGTGATCAGGGTCAAGGTTTCGCTGTGGTCAGAGTCAAGGTTTCACCATGGTCAAAGTCAAAGTTTCGCTGTGATTAAGGTCAAGGTTTGCTGTGGTCAAGGTTTCATTGTAGTTAAAACTTTGTCCTAGTCAAGGTTCAAGTTTACTATGAAAGAAGGAGTTTTTTTTTTTTTTTTTCAAGGATATTTTATAAAATAATGTTAAACAAAAGAGCAAAAACTGCAATCAGTAATAGCTTAAAGCGTGAAATCTGTGAATATAGCAATAGGTTTCTACATGAAATACATTTAAATATCGCAAACTATTTTAATCAAAAAAATTCAAATTTAAACATTGATCGCTCAATAATTTCAAAAATTTTAAAGGAAAAAAACAAATGGTTGGCAATCGACAATAACAAAGCTAACATGACGATATTTCGTCACAAAAAAGTTAAGTTCCCGTTATTAGATAAAGCTATGCAACTTTGGGTTGAGCAAGTTATAGGTGGTCAAATATTTTTAACGGATTTGATCATTAAAGAAAAGGCTGCATTTTTTGCCTGGGCATTAGGTTTACCAGATAGCACATTAAAATTTTCTAATGGTTGGGTTTATAAATTCAAAAAAAGGAATAATCTACGAAGCTATTGGTTACATGGAGAAGCCAATAGTGCACTAATAGAAATACTTCTAGAACAAAGAGTAAAATTTTGTGAAATAATAAAAGAATATCCATTAGAAAACGTCTTTAATGCAGATGAGACAGGGTTATACTTTCGTATAGCACCACATCAGATACTCTCATCGCAACCACAATCAGGATGGAAAAAAGTCTTTATTGTATATAAGTTTAAACCAGAAATAATAAAATAAAATTTTATTTGTATACTGTTTTAAAAAAATTTTAAAATTTTAATTTGTTAATTATTGAATTAACTTAGGATCGAGCACGTATTACTGTAATGTTGGCAGCAAACGCAACTGGAACTGAAAAATTAAAGCCAATAGTTATTGGATCATCTATCGAACCTCATGCTTTAGCACGTTTAAACTATGATACCTTACCTGTTACATACTGATCGAACTTAAAAGCCTGGATGCGATCAGATATCTTTGGTGAATGGCTTACAGAACTTGATAGGAAGTTTCGTTTGGAAAATCGGCATATTTTGTTGTTAGTTGATGGTGCAACAAGCCATTATAATCCTAATGAAGATAATGATTCTAATGAAAATAGTGAAGAAGATATGTTAGAATCTGATAAAGAATTAAACAGTGAAGAAGAATCAGAAAGTGAAAGTTTGAATAATGAAGAAAGTTATGCAAGCTCATCTAGGAATCCTATTCGACGTAGCTGTAGCCACCCAAGGTTAAATGTTAGTAATATAAATAAACAAAGTAGACGAAATTCTCGTAGTCGTAGTTGTGGCCATGGTTGTGGCCGTGGTCATGGCCGTGGTCGTGGTCGTGGTCGTGATCAAGCTTCTTGTAGTAGCAAGGGTCATCGGGGCCATGCTCGTCCTTATAGACTTCCAGAACCTACTGAAACACCTTTGACAAATATTCGGATTGAGTTTTTACCACCTCATACTACCGCTTATCTCCAACCAATGAATGCAGGTATAATCAATAGCTTTAAAGCAAAGTACAAAAGAAAATATATACGATACATAATTGATCAATTTGAGAGAGGAGAGGATTTTAAAATGTAAGAACATATTAATGAGCCTAGTGTTACTAACCTAAAAAGTTTCGCCAAGAAAATTTTGCTGTTGGATTAAAAATAATTAGGAATTTACAAATAAGGACCCAAAAATGTAAAATAATTATATATAGGGGCTCTATTTTAGCAAATTTTACTATATCTCATGATACAGTAAACGAAATTTAATGATTTTAATACCATTCAAATCGTCTCGTTGAGACGAATTGAATGTACTAAAATCGCCAAATTTTAATGACAGGATAACTAGATATTACGATTTAAACAGACTTTAGAAAATGTTAAATAACTCATAATCCAGTAATTAAAATTTGGCGATTTTGGTACTATTTAATGCGTCTCAATGAGACAATTCGAATGGTATCAAAATCGTTAAATTTCGTTTATGGTATCATGAGATATAGTAAAAACTGTTAAAATTTATTAAAATAAGGCCTCTATATGTAATTATTTTACATTTTTGGCCCTTATTTGTAAATTCCCCAAAAATAATTCATATCCGCAAATTTTACCTATGTATCTACTGCAGTGCATTACACATGATCTTGAAATTTGATTGGTTAGTGAAATTTTCTAGGTGGCAACACTAGTAATTTCATTGATTGAGCTTTTTTCTAATTTTGACACGACCGTATAGCACTGCATATAATATCCCCCAAAATAGAATTCACCAATTCAAACGCAAGATTAGTGTCCAATAGAGATGTAACCCGATCAGTTTTTCTATATAAAAAACTTGATCGGATTATATCTTTAATATATAGTACCCAGACTATATGCAGTGCTAAATGGTATTTTTAGTTTATTACTTTTCGTGTGTGACTATTTTTTTCTGTATATAGAGTGGTTTTAAAGAATTTTAATTTAAATTTTTTTGAATTATACAGAAAAAAATTGAATATAAGAGAAGCGATAACTTATGTTGCAGAATCATGGGATGAGGTAGAAATGTCAACAATTGTGAATTGTTGGATAAAAACTAGAATTCTTCCGGTGCTCTCTGGTGACGAAATTGAAGATGCTACTCTTGCTCTGCAAGACTTGGCTGACTTTGAAATGAACGAAAATGATGAATTAATCGTAGACCTAACAACAAATTTATTAGACCCAACAATTGAGCGTGAAATTAATAACTTCAACAATTTAAATAATTCCAAAGTACTTACAGAGAATGTTCTTGACGAAATGCAAATTGTGAATATTGTGTTAGATGAACAATGAGAATATGAAGAAGGCGATGCCAGTGATACTGATGAGGAGCCACCTGAAGTTCTTGCCGCAGAAGGATTAAACAGTTTAAAAAAATTTGTTGATTTTTTTGAACAACAAAAAAGTGATGATTTCAAGGTAGAAGATTTGAAGGTTTTCAGGAAATACGTGTCATTAATGGGAAGAAAATATGTAGAATCATTGAAGCAAAAATCAATTTCTGACTTTTTCTTACCTGTTTATAATTAATAGCGGGTTTATTTTTTTAGAACAAATTTTTTTGCTCTTTTTACTCATCTTTTTTTTCTTTTTTCTTAGGTTTTCATCACTGGTTGAATAATCAGTATCTTGTTAAATTATTCTTTTTTAGAGCTTCATCAGATAATATATAATTCAGGCAATCATCTAAAGATTTACCAGTATTATCGATGTTATCTTCATAGCAGTATTCAATTATTTACTCATTTGTTTTTAGACTAAAATAGTTTCATATAAGAATCAATCTTTTTGTAAAACAGCTATTTAATCTAATAATATTAAGCTGATATTAGTAAAATAATTATATATTTTAAATTTTAATAATGATTATTCTCATAGACATGATATCACAAAATTAGCTGAGATTATCTATAATTCTAGCTTATTTATGATATCATGTTTATGAGAATAATATACTAATATCTATATTCAGACTATGCTACCACTTATCTATACATATTAATTTTTTATTA